TGTTTTTGCAGAACTCATCATGTTTATATTAAACCTCTTACATATGTCTATAGTGCTTTATTAACCTATAGGCTACCTTTCTGATCTCTCTACAACATGTGTGCCTATCCCAAACACCTATGCTTTGATTTAACCACCCACCACGGCTCCATAATATTTTTCGCCTACTAATAACTGGGTAAAACACCCGCCTTAGACATATTTGTGTAAGCCTGATGTTATTTCTTTCTTATTATTTACAAAAGAAATGTGCAGTTTTCCTGATACCATGCAATTGTTGTCTCGTATCTTACGTTGCACTTTCTACAGCTGTTGTGCCTGGGCAAGTTCTTATGTACTAATATTCACAACCAAAATAAAGAATTATAAAAAATTAAAAAAAGGAGATGCCTTCAGAGCACTTCTAAAGACTACCATTGACCCACCAGCCAGTGCTCTTTTATTCTTGCTAGTACACAAGAGTTCCTTCCTACACCCAAGATAGCTTTAACCCTAACAGGCCCCTGAGCATGTAACGTTACCACTCACAGATTTAACTCATTCACAGGGAGTCACATCCCAGTCTAATCCCAGAATTACAGGATTTAAATTTTAACTCATCAACAGCCAACACTAAAAATCTATTAAATTGTGATTTAATACATAAAAAGACAGAGCACACAAAAGGATAAATAGCAAAGACAAATTCACCGATTAAAATTGGGAATTACATGAAAACTCTACCTTACAGTTCATGACTTGCCCATATAAAAGAATCCAGTGGGGTTGAGATTTAAGGAGCAATGAGGAGCAGATCAGGCTCATATGTCCTTGGATGTTATATAGTGTGGCCCCTCACCATGAGCTTCATGAGTTGAGATGTTCCTGTTCCTTTAAGCATCCTATTTCCATTCAGGATTACACAGGGATATCTAAACCCAATAAGGGTTGTCCAGTACTAGGCATGTTCATCATGTTATCAATAGCTGCCCAGAACTTCTGGAAGGACAACCACTTCTAGACAAAGGACCACAAACTGGAGGGAAATGTGCACCATCCTTGGCAAATGTGACTTGTGCATGTGACCCCATATGAATATGTAATTTGAATCCCAGGTTAGGAGGAAGTCATAAATGAAGGTCCTCAGCAAACAGCAGAGGGGAAGTACATCTTAAAAGGAGGAGACCCTATGCCTTACAGAAGGAGACTCTGTTACAGACAGTATGTGCATACTTGCCCATCCAAAACTTGTTTGTCACACCACCCAAAACCAAGACAGCAAAATTAATCTGACTACTGTGAGAAATAGTTACCTGGGGACAAAGAAATTAAAAAGATATGAAATAGAGAGTACATAAAGATATATTTGTACCCAGTTCAGTTCCATGTTCCTGCATCAGTCAGTGTATATAGGATCAGTGCTAAATACACTAAAAAGACATTTAAAAGAGAGGCAGACAAAACAAGGCTGGGATTTGAGACAGTGAAAGGAAATTTCCCAGTTTAGTTATTTAGGACTAACATTTTAAATTCACCTTTAATTCCTGACAGCTCACAGTAAAGTGAATGAGTCTCTGATATTTATTTGTCAAAGTTAATTTCTCTAAATGTCTTTCTTTCTTTTCATTCTTTTTACTACTTTCTTTCTTTTTTCCTTTCTTTCTCGTGCTATCCACATTTGTGAATCAGCGTACACTGATTCTCATTATTAAATTTTACAGAACAAAATGCTACAGTTATGTTAAATAAGAATACTTTCATTAACTGCATTATTAACATTACGTGCAGCCCACAATGTTGTTTATATTTGTAGCTGTGAAAAAGCAGATGATTGTTGTACCTTTTTTCCTCTTGGATGCTGGCATTATAGGGCAGCTGCATCTGATAATCTATTCTGCTGTAGGCCGTTTTTTTTTTTTTTTTAATCGTCCAGGCCTTCTGTACCATTGTGATGCATTAATGAAGTCAGGATGCTCTGTCAGACCTCCTCAGCAGTCCTTGGAGGAGAAAATAAAATCACTTCTATTGACCCAATGGCATATTTATGTGATCACTCTTTTTTGCTGAGCACAGTTGTTATCGCTCCTTCGTCCCAGTACTGTGTTTATTCAGCAGCAAACTAAATCACATCTGTACTCAAGAGCGACATTAATCAGTGCATGTACGCCACACATAATGGCTGCCCAACGTATATAATTGCTGGATGTGTGGGGAAATCTCATTTTAGGCTAGACAGGATTGTTTGACTCTTCACTGAGATAATTCTATTGTTATTGTAATTGTAGATTCATCACTTATGTTTGTCAAGTTGTAAAATTTATGTGAGTGCAAAACAGATTAAAACATTACGAATGTAATTATTTTTCTTAACACAGTGGCATGGGGATTCTATTTTAAAGTCAACCATGAGTACAACTGTGAATTACCTAATTTAATATATATATAAATAATTTACTATATTTAAAAAACAGCCTTCTGCCTTACACTAGTCGAACATTGATGTTGTGTCTACATGACGCTGCAGCGTTACCATAGCAACACGATACTGTGTTCAACGTGTCAAATATTAATTTGTGATGTGTTGAAAATAAAAGCATTAGATATAAAACACGCTCTAGCATTGTTAAGCTATTCATGCTTCTAGGTGAATAAACTAAATCTAAAAACTGCAATACTGCAGACACATACACATTTCAATTAAAAACAAATAACATAAATGGTTATTCCAAGTGAACAGAAGCTGTTCAGGGGAACTTGTAATATGGACTGTGGTAAAATGACAAAAATAAATGTCAAAAAACTAAACGACAAAAATAATAGTCAGAGATGTAAAGAAAGAGGTTCAGTGACATGCATAGATATTACCACCAGAGGGCGAACAGTCATGCAAATGTATTAACCTATAGAGCAGGGGTATGCAACCTTCAGCACTCCAGATGTTGTGGACTACATATCCCCTGATGCTTTGCCAGCATTGTGGCTACAAGGGCATTATGGGTCATGTAATCTGGCGTGCCTACCCCTACTATAGAGAATAATGAGTTGGATTCAGGCAACTGAAACAACTAAGTACCGAATTTATCTTCTACTGCACAAAAAAGGCATTTGCTTTGGTGATAAACCTACCTAAATACTACATTTGCAAAAGGGTCAAGGTTTATCTTAAAAACAAGTTTTACATTAAATGTGTCAGCCTACAGGTATAAAATATGCATTCACACTAGGCACGTGGGGGTTTGTTCACTAAACGGTGAACTGCAGTGAATTGAGAAACTAATCTGTAAACATTTAGACTAGTATATCCATGATGACAGGGAGACATTTTCCGGTTTAACTGTTTTGCTTTAAATTCAACAAACTCTGATTTTCATTGATCGCAATTCTCTGTTGACAAACCTGTGTGCAGCAGACCAAGCTAAGTGTGCAAATCATGTTATGCACCACAATGCTCTCAAATGTAAAGGAAGCCAGAATAGGGACAGGCATTATTTGTGCAAGTGCAAAACTAGTAGCAATTATCAATGAGGAAACTGGATGCAGGCATCAATCTGACCAACCAAGTTAAAAACAGGCTCTTACAATGACACCTCTTCCCTTTTTCTTGAACATTCCCTGACTCCCTGCGACGCTGTCGCACTTGCACATCTGTACTCCCCGGTGGCCGGGCGGCCATGTTGCCACACACACGTGTGTTGTGTGCAGTTCTGGATACGGGTACCATGGTAATGGGTCGACCTAACCAGGACATTTCTGCATCGGTGTATTTCTAATTTACTAATGAGTCCGCAGGAGACCTATTCACCGTACTAATGAATGGTTCCTGAGTTACACCTTGCCCTAGAAATCCTCCCAGGGACTGTTAGCTGGGTGACATTATATGTTTTGATTCTATGTGCTATAACTATAGCAGGTGCAGTGTTTTGCCTAGAACCTCTGGAGGTGCAGATCTAGTGTGCTTCTATATGGCAACTTCCCCCGGCAATTGCTGTATCTTTTGGCTAATAACATAGAGTTAAATCAATAACCTGCAGCTAATTTAGGTTTGTTGTACCAGGTTTATATATAAAAAAAAGGGGGGTGTGTATCTCGTTCGAGTTTCCTTTTCCTGCTGTGTCAATACGCGGTCTTAAGCTACGTAGTTCCTGTTACCAAGCGATTTTCGGTCCCGCCACGGGGTATGACCCGCGTTTTCACCTCGGGTTTTCGTTTCCCTGCTTGGCTGTTGTTTTTCAGAAGGAGCGTTACAGTCGGCTTTATGATTCCTCCTCATACCCCCCCCCATCTTCATCACACGGTGCATCCACTCTCTCACTCCTTACCCTTCCCTCTTAGTTAGCTTACTCTGCTTCTCAGTTACGGTCGGCCCTGTGGTACTCGTTCACCCTCACGTTCTTTCGATACACGTTCATCAAATCCGTCCTCTCTCACGCTACCTTCCCTCTCCTCTTAGTTAGCTGTGGCTGGCTGTCAGGGTTCTAGGTGTCCACTGGTTGTAATTCCCCCCGGCTTCTTCGCCATTGGTTAATGGTCCCGCGCGGCCTACACCCATCCTCATACTCGGATGTACTACGCCCCTCGGGCCAAATCATAGTTAGTCGCCTCGCATTGTAGCATAGAGAGGGCCTCACCTGTCACTCCCATTCTATCTTATGTTTAACTGTCACCGAGAGGCCAACACCCCGCCACACCGTTCAGTGGCCACGTTATCCCCTCGCGCCAATGCATAGATAGAGCCTCTCACGCCGTTTGGCATTTAGCAGGGCCTCACCTGTCACCAAACCTAGTTTTAATTGTTTCGCCTTTTGGCATTAGCTAGTATGCCAGCTCACACTTACGCACACACACACACTGTGTATCTTAAGCGCTGTTTCTTCGTCTCCTTTTTTTTTTAGCAGGTCTCCACTGCCTGGCGCTGGCGTGGTACTTTTTCAGCCTGGCTCTCTGTCTAGGCCTGGTACTCATTGCGCTGTGGAGTTTCGGCTACTCCTACCTTTTTTTTCTTGTCCTGGTCTCTTCCTCACTTCGCTGTGGTTCTTGCGAGTCGACTTATTCCCTCCCCAGCAGCCTTTCGGTCAGCTGAACTCTCAGCGTCTGTCTGCCTCCATGGGTTGTCCGAAGGGGCCCCGAGTTCGCTCTTCCATTCTCCACTACTGTTGTCTATAGGGCGGTTTCGGATTGGCAATTTGGGTAATTGGCGTCTGCCGCTCTGGCTGCATCCGAGCCAGACTTCCTGCAACTTTTTCATACGATCTCTACGCATTCCTCTTGGCTCTGCCTTCGGCCTCTCCCGTAGCTGCTGCCATCCCCTGCGTTTCGCGGTATGCTCGCGGACTACCAGCCTTGTTAGCTCGTGGTCGCCATCTTTCTTGTCTGGCTCTTTCTATTAACACTCGCGGTACATGTTTATATGGTTCAAAGGGCCTTTTTAGTATTGTTTGATCACAGTTAAGGAAGACATTTGCTTCTGGTTTTTTTTCTTTTTCATTTTGGGTATTATCATTGTCAAAATTGGTATAATGTGTAGAACTAAGCCTTCTGCTCTTTTTTGCTCTTGGAACTTCAGTCAGCCCATCTCCTAGCCTCATTAACCCAAGGCCTGGGGACCCTCTGACCCCTATTAAACATTTAAACCATTAAATTATACCAGGTTCGGGAAGAGGGGAGATTATACTCCAGGCCTCCTCTAGTTTTGTTGGGATCCGATGGAAACCAATTTTCAAATAATTATTTATATTTAGTAAATCACAAATATAAAAAAGTATTGCCTCTTTCTTCTTACATTCTGGGCTCTGTGAGACTTTCAATTTCAGGGCTGTAAGGAAGAGCATCATACTATATAGTAGCACTTACAGAAAATGGGCAAAACTGCAACTATTTAGTAAATAACAATGGCATTGTAGTTTCAATAGTTTCCATTCTCCCTCCAGTCAGAACCTTTTACTAACTCGACAAACTTGCACTAGTTAGTAATTCCTTATTTGGTGTAACGTTGCCAAGACCAAGTAGTACAGCATCTGTCTTTAATAAATCGATGCGAAAGGATTGTATCCTTAAATAAACAAACCACACTTTGTAAAATGCAGAGGGAAAAGCAGTATTAAAAATAGGTTTAGTAAGGAATGGCCATAGTTGTATTCATGCTCTTGGAAAAGTATTACCCAAAAATATGTTTCAATGTACTTTGATTTGACTGATTAGTTTTGTTAGCAGCTTGCTTTAGATCTCAGAAATAAATCATTGGGGGAAAATAAACAATTTAAATCTGAGATATTTCACAAGGACATTTAATTCAGTTAATAATACAATCGCAGTTTAATTGGGTTCCTTGTTAATGGGAAGGCACTATGCATGCCGACATGTATTATTTATATATCCTCACTGTCTGGTGTATATCATCACTTCTAAAAGGGAATAATAAAGAGAATTTTACATCTGCATAGAATTATGAATTATTGCTAAATCCTGCACATTTAAAGGAAAACTGTACATCTGAATATATATATATATTTTTTTTTATTTTTTTTTATTGCATATAATTAATTGTTGCAAAAATATGAATTTACTCAAATTTGCACAAATATGTTTAATATGGTTTAATCTAATAAAGAGCCACCCCAATTTTGGTCAAGCAAGCAGTCTACAGGCAATCAAGGGCTAAGTAAAAAGTAACTTTTATTTATAGCATATTAAAATCCTTACAGGGACACTATAGTCACCAGAACAAATACAGCTTATTGAATTTGTTCTGGTGAGTAGAATCATACCCTTCAGGCTTTTTGCTGTAAACAGTGTATTTTCAGAGAAAATGCAGTGTTTACATTACAGCCTAGTGATAACTTCACTGGCCACTCTTTAGATGGCTGCTAGAGCTGCTTCCTATCTCAGTCTTGCCTAGTGTGCATCACAACATATCAGTATCTCTTCCCTCTGCATGCAGACACTGAACTTTTGTCATAGAGATTCATTGATTCAATTCATCTCTATGAGGAGATACTGATTGGCCAGGGCTGTGTTTGACTTGTGTTGGCTCTGCCCCTGATCTACCTCCTTCACAGTCTCAGCGAATCCTATGGGAAAGCATTGTGATTAGCTCAGAACAACACCTTTGATTATGTCAGCAGGCAGCTTGCTATTCTGAGGTAGACAGGGGCAGAGCCAGCAGCTTCAGGCTTGAATACAAGTAAGATTTTACTATATTTAGGAAAGCACAAGAGGGCCAGGGGAGCTAGATGGTGGTTTTAACACTATATGGTTTTAAGGTGAGCAATATACAACTATTTTATAAGAATATCTGGTTTATGATATACTACACTAGAAGCTCTATCTCTTATGCTTTATTTGAACTTATTTAAGAAGAATAAATAGGAGGGAACAGTGTCACCTTAATACAACACAGTGCTTGTTATCTGAGCCAGTCCTAACACGTGGCTCTAATTTTGTGAGTTAATTTCTTTTACTTATTTTTAACCACTTGTTATTTCTGTTCACACTACACCATTAGATTTTTTTTTTCTCCCCTATGTACAAGACTGGACTATTATTTACTTCAGCTCTACACTGGGGGTAAGTGTGTTATAATTACCACTCCACTTAGGAGACTGGTGGTGGATCCCACCCCCCCTCCTTACTTTACTGTGTCTATATTTTGGTGGATATGAGAGATTTCCACATAGTGTAGTAGCTGCTATAAAATGTACATTTCTTGCATTTGTTTTAAGTGCCTTTTTGCACAGAGCACTTTCATATTCTTGTTTATTAAATGTTTGGCTCACAGTACCAGTTCATCAAATACACATTTTAACTCCCACCAGCCTTAACCACACTTTCATGTTCATAAATTATAATTGGATAAAAATCTGCAATACATCCCCGTGAAAGGTAAAAAAAAGTTAGGATTTTTTTAATGATCCTTTAAAAACCAAAAATTAAAAAATTGCCCAATCTTGAGAACCATTAGTAAATTTTCATTTCTGGTTATCCACTGCCCCTTTTGTTGGTGAGTTAAGGTACCTAAATACCCTCCACCCAAAATTACAGAAATGCAATAACCACAAGGCTTAACAAAATATTTTTATTCCCACTCCTATGTATGCAACTGATGTGAGGATAACATACAGTCCTGTAGAGATAACCAAAGATTTCTTCTTCCACCACCTGGACTTGAGTTTGAAAATCTTAAAGTTTATGGTGGGGTATGGGTTTCAAACCACCTAATGAATGAATAATTGTTACAAGCTATTCACACAATTCTTAGACAAGAATACAGGAGGGAATCTGGGGTATCCTCCTGGAAATGAGGAGCCCATGTTGGTTTTATATTTAGTTATTTATTTATTTTTTAACTCTGCACCCTCTGTCAGCGTTTTGCATCATTAAATCAATTTATTTTTACTTTCATTCAGTTTGCAGTTCAGTTTGATATCTCAAAATCTACCTCCAGACAAAACAATTTAGAGGCAATTCAGATGCACCATAATAAGCAATAATTTCTATACTTGACATTCATTTTAAGTATTATATTTAAGGGGACACCAGACTGTCCCATCTTGAACTTACACATTATCAGAATGTGCATCTGATCTGGATAATTTCCTGCATTAGAAATATTGTACTTCTGTTTTGCAACATTGGCGCCATCTTGGTATCCCTTGTAGTAACTATGCTTCTAATATTATATTTAGTAATTATACTATTATGACAAAGTATGAGAAGCAGCACCTCTGCAGAGAAAATGTATTGTTTACATTACAGCCTAGTGATAACTTCACTGGCCACTCTTCAGATGGCTACTAAAGCTGCTTTCTATCTCATTCTTGCCTAGTGTGCATCACAACATATCAATATCTCCTCCCTCTGCATGCAGACACTGAACTTTCTTCATAGAGATTCATTGATTCAATTCATCTCTATGAGGAGATGCTGATTGGCCAGGGCTGTGTTTGACTTGTGTTGGCTCTGCTCCTGATCTACCTCCTTCACAGTCTCAGCGAATCCTATGGGGAAGCATTGTGAATGGATCAGAACAACACCTTTGATTATGTCAGCAGATAGCTTGCCATCTTGGTATCCCTCGTAGTAACTATGCTTCTAATATTATATTTAGTAATTATACTATTATGACAAAGTATGAAAAGCAGCACCTTTACATATATGCAGTCCAAAAAAATTAAAATGTAACAAAACGTAGGAATAACAGGTCCCTTATCCCAGGTAGAAAGATGCAGATTTGATATAATGATTCAGAAAATTCTGCAGTGAAGACATTACATACTAAATGTTCTGAAGAATGTAGAACACAAACATGTAATGTAAAATGCTTCACTTGCTCCCTCTAGTGTCCATGTATTGACATTACATAAACTCTAATCAGACTATTACTTGACGGTCACAGCACCATAATATAGTATTGATTTAGTACATTTATATTTAAAACTTTGTCTTTTAAATGCCAATTTATTTATAAATAGAGTGATTGTATAATGGTACTGCAAAATAAAGATGTTAGAGTGATTCAGAATTTTTATGATAGAGATAAAGTATAAGAGTGACATAGTGTTAGAGGGATTAAGGTTTGGGTTTGAAGCTGTTAAATGGGTTTTGACTTATAGTGTACTTGCCTGCAAGGTACTATGGACTATAACTCCCATGATTCAATATGGGAGTGATAGAAGTTACAGTCCCAACTCCCCTTAAGTCTACAATATAGGGTACTCTGCTGTATCATGAATGTCCATGTTAATGCCACATCATTTTTGGGGGGTCTAATGATGCTATGGCCACAGCACTGCAATATGATTACTTTCACTTCCCCATTATTTGTTCAGAATATTTGCGTGGTGTAAACTGAATTATTCCATGTCATGGCAGCCCTTTTGACATTACTAAATTCATAAAGGAGCCACTTAATCCTGTTATACACATTGGACAGAAAATGAAAAGGTGAATCTTCAGTATTATGATATCTCAATCAGAGAGGATGGGCTAAGGCAGGGGTCCTCAAACCTTTTAAACAGGGGGTCAGTTCACGGTCCCTAAGACACTGCTGGGGGCCGGACTATAGTTTGACATTTTTTTAAACAAATTCCTATACATACTGAAACAGACAAATATACATATACAGACACACATACACATACTAACATACATACAGACACAAACACGCATAAGGACATACATACACACACACACACACACATACTGACAGACATACATATACATACTGACACACACTGACATACACACTGACATACACATACATAAAGAAATACAGACAGACAGACATACACATACTGACATACACATACATACAGAAATACATACAGACAGACATACACACACATACATACACACACATACTAAAATACATACACACAGACAGACATGCAAACACACACTGACATA